GTTTCTTTTTTTAAAAAAGAAACCTTTCTAAAATAATTTAATTCATTTGTGAATAAGTCCTGAAAATTCCATCAAAATCTGACAGTTATTTGATTTTTCCAAGAATTTCCAAATCAATGTTTTTTGCTGCAAAAAAAGATACTAAAATTTCCCATGCTAATTTATAGTACTCTTTATTGATGCTGACAAGAAAAACAAAATTTTTAACCTTGTAAAAAAAAAAAAAAAAGAGATCAAAAACTAATTTTATAATCAAAAAATCTTTTGGTCTTTCCTCTTGATAATAACAAAAATTTAAATAATAAAAATTATTTTTATTAAGTTTGGGTCATTTTTTCATCATGTATACACATTTTCTTAGTGAATCTTTGAGGTACTTATATATATATATATATATATATATATATACACACACACACACACACACACATTGAAGTCAACACCCAGAGGTGACAGCGATTCATATTAAATGCAATCATCAGGCCAAATATATATATATATATATATATATATATATATATATATATATTTATATATATATTTGCCATGTGCAAATCTTAACATTTTGAAAATATAAAAATTAAGCATCTCAGTCATCAGATCCTTAGCTCACATTAAATGTTTTTCTTTATTCCTTTCATTTTTAGTGGCTAAATTACATTATTTCAATCATCAAATGTTTGGGTGGTGTATTATAAAAATATAGTAAAATACTGATTAAATGTTGCCTTTATAACAATCTAATTCTAGATTATAAATATTGAAAATTTTATTTTTGTACAAACATTTTGGGCTTTTGCTTTCTAGTAATGATAAGAGAAAAAATTTAATAAATTTGAATTATGTTTTCATAGTGTCAATTTCCTGTTGGAAAGTTTGGGACAAACCTGGATAGATGGCTATTATCATTGGATTTCACTTTGCAGAGAAGCTGATGGATTGGAACCTATCTACCATGGATAATGAGGTCTTCCTGTATACAAGAAATTTGAAGAAACAATTGATTATATTTGGCCAATATATGAGATTAGCTATGTAGCTATCATCCATCCATTGCATGTAACAAGGCAACATAGAAAGAAAAATAGGCATAAAGACATGATTGAAGAATAAACATGTAAATGAAATCAAACTGCTAGCAAGAAAGACCTGCACAATATTTTCTATTGTTTATACATGTCAATCATTTGTAATTCTATGTAGAAACAAATCTGGTTTACTGATTTAGTTCCAAATACATTCATACACTGAATTCTGTTTTGATTTGTCTTAAGTCATTATTCTTACGAATTGGAAAAAACTTGATAAAGGAAACATCTAAGAAACATGCCGTCATATATTCAGTGCTTATGCCTAATTTTTCAATTCGGTGAGATGTATATGAGGCCAGAATGGAATAGTATATTTTGAGGAATGTTGTTTACCACAACTTTTTATTTGACTGTTTTTTAATGAAAAAGCTAAAAGAAAATTGTGTGCATTGATTAGACATGTTCTTGTAAAGGGGTGATGAAATCCATGATGGGCGTGCAGAATAAAAAATAATGGTTGCAGCAAGATTGAATGATAAGCATTGGTGAAAATGGTGAATCTTGTTTTTTTTTTTTTCTTTTTTTTTCTTTTTTTTTCTCTCTCTCTCAAAAATGTATTTATATTTGTCATCTTATTTCTCTCTGCCATTTAAGAAAATGTCTGAACAGTCAGTAAGAGAGAAATCCTTTTAGATAACTGAGTGGCCTTTCAATTATTTGAAAGTACAAAGGTTGTGGGAAGCAGAGAGGGCAACTATCATTTAGCAGAAAATAGCCAAATTTCACTTGGGTCTCTTTTTAATGATTGTAAGAAGAAACCTTATTCAATTTCTCTTTCTCTCTCCTGAACTAAAATTCTAAATAAAGTAAAGAACTTGACAATCAAAAGTGAAAGCTATTTCACTTGTATTTTGACAGATGAAGCAATTTATTATATTACAAAAAATAAGTTCTTTATGGTAATGGTGAGTTTATTGCAAGTAATGTCTTTCATAGCTATTCATATTTATTACAGTATTCATCACATGGATTAAGTGCCTTGACAAAGGATATTATGTTGAATACTCTTTTCATTATTCTGTGTTTATGTGTAATTACTTATTACGTGTATTTATTAATGTCGGTCAGTTAAGTACTATATGTGATACATGCTTGGACAATCATGTCTCTTTTGATTCATGACTGACTAGGCAAAAAATTTTCCCCACAGTTGGCTGCTTTTTCTTTCTGCAGTAGTCTGATTACCAACCAAGGTTATAGGAGGCAGTTTATTCTGCTATTCAACCCATAGCTGGGGGGGGGGGAGAAGAGATGGATTCATTCCATTCCCATTTTGCCTGTATATAAATATAACAAACCTAATTGGAATTTAAACTTGATTCTCTAATTGTTCATTGCAAAATGTTATCCATTACACTACACTGTACATCTACTTCTTGATGTAGCTATTTTCAAGCTAAAACACAGGATAAGACAGGATATGTAAGATTAATATAAGAAGATTTTGCACTTGCTGATGTAAATATAATTTTAGTGTATCCTCTAAAATGTTTTCTTACTTAGACTTTAGCATGTTGCCATATTGCATAACTTTGATTCTCGTTACATGTAACAGGAGTAAAGTTATTTTTATTATTTTAATTAGTGTGTGCTTTAGTTTTATTAACTGCATTTCTATAAATAAACCTTAAAGGATTACATTGTCATTGGATTTGATAAAGATTATTTCAGAGCAAATATTTACTTCTGAAATGTAAAGATAGATTTAAAGTGAAAGCAGATAAATAGGCTTTACATCTTAGAAGTTAACAGGTAAGTGGAATAAGAGTTTATAGTACAATACAGCCAAATATTTGTCACTATTTGATTTTTGTCGTTTATGTGTCTAATTATCATGTTCTCTTCTCATGGAGGAATGTTTCTTTGTAATGGAAACTAAAGTCAGTATATGGTTACTTACACTGCATCTTGTATTATTATCCACTTGATGCCTTTATTTATAGATAAAGGCTTACTGGAATCTAAAGGTTTATTTGCTGAAAGATAGCAGTATCTATCCATGCAGGTTTCAAGTTTAAAGCTTTCAAATGGGTTTTAAAGTTGATAGGGAAATAAGGAAGAAAGAAAGATTAAGAAAAAGTAAAAGTAGAAAATCTTTAAAAGTGATCAGCAGGTACGACCAGACTGCAAAGAAGTACATTGAACATTCAGGTGCAAATTTGATAAAAAGTAAAAATTGTGGATTTTTATCTTGCTGATCTCTGTCCTATATCAGAATCATAAAAGAAAAAAAGAAAAAAAAAGTCTGGTCCTAAATCATTTGGCAAAACATCAAAATCACAAGGGCTTCTTTAAAAGATGTCCATAACCATATGATTGAATACAATGGCCAGCAGAATACGAGAAGACTGTTTTTCTTTTTTTCTTTGTAAAAAATTATTATTCTGTTCTTTTCACCAGCAAATTCCATGCTCATCTAAAGGGACCAAGGGTATGGAGCAAAGACTTGATCGCTACTTGTAGTAACTGTCCTGACACATTGGGACCACAACAAGACAGAGGTGGAGTAATAATTTTTGGTGAATTAGTAGGTAGATGGTGTATTTCAAATGATAGCTCAGATACACATTGAGTTAATTGTTAATTTTCCTTCCTAGAAGCGTGGTTCAAGAACTCAAACAAATTTGAATATGATGATGATTTTTATGTATCATCACATTTAACAAAGAAAAAAGAAATGATTAACTGAAGCATATGGATTTCTTTTGTTTTATGATGTGGAACAGTTTGTTGACCCACCCGTAACTAGAGTGAAAACTTGGGATTCATTCTGAAGAGGAAGGTTTACAATCAAAGATGAGCATTGGAATGAGATTCTGTATGATGTGCAGTTTGTTTTATAATGAAGAAATATAAGAATCTTGCAAAAGCAATGGATGAATGCTAAAACACAATATGGAGCACGGATTTCATATTAAAAGTGTCATCATTATAATGACAGTTTTCAATTGTTTCTTCAAAACATTTTTTTTTTTTTTTTAAACTTTATCTACATTCTGTAATTATTCTTAATTCCAATCTAATGTTTCTTGAATTTTCAGTAAGCTGGCTAATAATGTGATACTTGTAAAATCAAGTAGAATTGATGAAACTCTTGCCAATAAAAGTGACATATAGTCTACAATAATTCACACAAATTATGTGGAATAACCTGAAAATATTTTCATGAATCCATGACTTTTCTAAAAATTGTGGAAAAAATTTAAAATGGCTAATAATGTGAGAGGCTGTGTGTGTGTGTGTGTGCATATATATATATATATATATATATATATATATATATATATATATATATATAGGTGTTAAAGGTTTGTGTTCATCTGAAAATTGTACAATTTGTTTGTCTTCAGTTTCATAAACCTTCCAGATTGTAAAATGATCAGTCTTGTTTATATTGTGTTAAAATAATCTCCATGTCATTTAATACTTTTTTATTTGCTTTCCCTACAATATTTTATTACTTTTTATGGAACTCTTGACAATATTAGAAAAATTGTTTTTTTTTGTTCTTTTATTCAATATATAAACGGATGCCAAATAATTATATTTTTTAAGTTCTTAATTTAAATCCTTTTTATTTTCCTGGCGTCAATCCAGAAGTGAATTCACTTTCATTGCAGTAAAAATCATCATCATCAATTGAATCAAAATATTAAAATCAGATATTGTGTTCAAATTTCATATTTAATTGACTTTATCCTTGTTGCCATTATAGATTTTATTATTTTTGCTCTTTTGAAAAAGAAATGTATTTAAATCATATATTAACAACTGATCACATAGAACAAGCTATAATATTATTGCCACTGAAATGATTTTAAAAATCTTGAAAAACCTGTTGCACAAATATTTTTCTTATAGCTCAACAATTTCTATGTTTTATAAATGGCATTGGTTTTGAAAATTCAGATGGAACTGTTCTGTGCTGTTAACATTCTCCAGTTCATCTTCTTGGCACTGAAGTTGGATAAAATCATACTTTGGAACTGGGTGGTAAGTAAAGTTTTACTTAATGTTTTTGTCATCTATATTTTTGATAATGTATCTGGCATATTGAAAGAACTTAGGTGTAAAATAAATGGTTTAACTTGAAGGAAGTCTGATAAGTTGTACTTGGCTAGACTAGACTGTTGAAACCAAAGAGATTTGGTGTCCGCTGCTCTTTAATAGAAACATTTAGTAAAAAGAGTCACTTTTGATGAAAAAATTTCATTATACTCAGATGATGTCATTTTGTAAGTAAACACAGTTGTATTTGCTGATTTGTAGTTGTTGTTAAAAATCTATTGCTTTTTATCTTGTTACCTTACCAGTAGATGATGATGATGTTTTGTCCTGTTGAGGAAAACAAGTAACTTGCATAAAGAAAAGAAGCAATGCATTGGTATATGTACTGCAAACTCCAAAAGCCTTGTACACTTTATGTAGAAGATTCTGTGAATGATTGAATGAATCAAAAGTGATTGCAAATTTTCTCACAGGAGATTTTTTTGCTGAATATTTGCTATTTCCATTGTGTCCAATGTGTAGTTAAATTTCTGCTTGTTTTTTTTTTTTTTCATTGCACCTTTTATGGTCTCTTTTACTAACAGCCATGGATTCCATCCACTTATACTTAATGGTTATTACTTTCCTTAACTATATCTTGTCTAATATTTCTTTCAATTTTCTTTCTGAATCTGCCATCAACACACTTGCATCTGCATAGTTGTTGTTTATAGTGTTATGGCCACTAATAAATTCTCATAGCTTTTCTAGTCAACCTAGTGTGTTACTTGAGAATCATTAATGTTGTACAAGGTGAGAAAGTCAAAAATTGAAAATATCCAAATCAAGAATTTGAAACCATTTGCATCACTTATGATATTCACTTTAATGTGTGGCTTTTACATAAATAAAAAAAATGAATGGTAAGAAGTGGATACTTTAAAACTAGGTACCTCCACTTTTTCATGGGAAAAGGCCACAAACTTAATAAAAACAAAGTTTTATCGTCAAAATATTTGTTATTATTAAGATGAAAGATGGCATTTTTGGAAATTTTTTAATTATTTCTAGCACATCTGAAATTTTGATTCAAAATCTTGTTTTGTTTACGTCATCAGACCTGGGTAATAATTACAAAATACTTTTTTGCTACTTTTTTCTGAAATTATTTTTGAAATTTTTTGTTTTAGAAAATTTTGATAAAAATATTTTTATATATATATATATATATATATATATATATATATATATATATATGTTATCCCCACTTACTTAATTTCATGAAATTTCACAAAATACCTTTCTATTTCCTGAATTTTTTTTTAGTAGTTAAAAGTAGGACTCCTTGGAAAATATAAATCACCTAATTTTTTTTTTCTTTTTTTTTTAAACTTTTACTATTCTAACTGAAAATCTGCTCCAAAAAGTAAACTAAAAAAAACGTAACAAAACTATGACATTATTAGAAAAGCTTTTAATTGCTTTTGTAAATAAATTATATTAAGGATACTATTGTCTGAAGAAATAATTTTTCAATGAATAATGAATTTTTACAAGAATTTTTTAATTTTTTTAATTTTTTTTTTTTTTAAATCTTAATTATAATAATTTATAATAGTTTAAAAATCATTTAAAGTTCTGTATTGGGCTATTTCCTGGATGTGATATTGTAATTAAGTGGAAACAAAATTTATTAATCCAAAATTGAAAAAAATTAATAAACATCATTTTACTATCCTTAAAATTCATTTTAAATCTTAAGTGTTGAAAATTTATGCCGAATTAGTGAAAGTACCTATTTATAACAGTGAAATGACCGATTGCTGACTGTACCAAAAGCCTATCTTCATTCAAGTAAGATGATGGTGGGGCTGGAAAAGAGTCATCTATTATAAGCTCCTTCTGGTGAACAAAACAATTGATTTGGTCAAGTACTGCTCCCAATTAGACTAATTAAAGGTATAAGAATAGTTCTTTACTGCAAAAGGTAAAATTTTGGGGGGAGATAGAAGTATAAAGTTGCTTGAAAAATAGCTGAGGATAGTGAAACAAAATATGTTCTTTCATAAAGTTAATGTAAAAAGATGATTTTATTTTTACTTTAAAATTAAAACATTTTATGACCAAATATATAATAGTAATTTTCTTATCTCTTATAATTCACTTTGATTTTTGACTAAGAACAGAATTTTACAATTATTTATCCACTTAGCTATTAACCAATTCAAATTTTAGAATATTGAAACCTTCCAGTTATTCTTTACTGCCTTCATTTAAGATTCTGACAAATGCCTTCTAAAATATTTTGAACTGTTTGATATTCATATGACCAAAGAAAAACAAGTTGTGGTAAAATCAAAAATTTGATGGTGTGCTGAATTTTGTTTTTTAATACTAAAGTTTACTCAATACAAGGTTCAAGAGCCACTCTAAGTAGAGGATTACTGAATGAAGTGTGTGATATGAATGTAAGATGAGGTAGTAGGAACTGAAGATTATGGGGAGAAAGGAGGATATCTATCCTCCTTATCCCCATAATTGACTCTTGATTTGAAGAGGATAAGATTGCAGTGTTTAGGAAAGCTTTTATATGGCAGTCTGTTGCACAAAGTAACAATTGGAATAAAGAAGTGATAAGGATGATTTGACTCTGTAAAGTTAGCATCGTTTGCATTAAAATACAACACCTGAAAATTCCTTCTGCTTTCATTTTCTTGTGTTATAGGTCTAAACTATTGGAATTGATATTGACTTCAGTCATTTGTTGACATACTTTATAAGAACTAGGTGTATGCAATTTGTATAACACTAAAGTGTTGAACAACCTTCAAAATGCCTTGATTTCCAACTTGTTGGAAATCCTCTTCTGTGGTTTGTGCAAACTGTCTTGTCTTGTCCTTTGAACTATTGAACTATTAGTCTTCTACCTCTTTTTGGAAAAGTACTACAGACTAATTATTTCTGAATTGGTTAAGCTTCCATGGTCTTCTTTCAGATAAACAATATAGCTTTCACTTCTCTAGGTCAACTGCTAATAAGCTGATGGTTATTGCTGAAAGTGTCAAGCTTTAGATAAGAATGGTGAGGCTTGTGTTGTTTAGATATCTCAAAGGCCTTTGATAAAGTTTGGCATGCTGGTCTTCTTAGCAAGTTGAATGGTTATGGTATTTCTGGCTGATTTTTTTTTTTTTGTTTTTATTCAATTCAGTCTTTTTTTTTTTTTAAGTGTCACTCTATATCTTTTTGCATGAATATTGGTGTATACTGAATATTGGTCTATTCTTCACTGGCGATGGTTCGTGGTAATGCTTTCTCCATCATTGTGGCTGGCAGAGGATAGAAAAAAAATTGTTTATAGTTACTTTGTTCAAACTTTTTTTTCAGTAGATAAATTTCTCTATTCTTCAACCTTCTTTGTTCCTTATTTTCATCAACATCCTTCCTGATGTCGTATCTATTTTAATGAGACAAATATTTACTCTAGTCTTAATAGTAAGCCTGATAAATTTGATAAAACCAAATTAGCAGCTGATAAATGATCTTTTATTATTTCTTGGGGCAAGAAATGTTTTGATATTTTAATGCCTTCAAAATGAAACTCTCTGCTCTCTATCTTAAAGAAGCCTTTTTTTTTTTTTTGCCTTTCATCAGCATGGCTGATTCTAACTTCCACATGAACAACTCACTAGCTCATCTTGTTCTTATGTTTTCCATTGATATCAAATGGAAAGAGACTATATTGAATCAATTGCTAAGTCTGCTGCCAGGAAATCTCATTCACTGTCATTCTAGACAACTTTGTCTGAATCTTGAATATTTATGAGTCTACAATTCAACCATTTGCATCAAATATTGCTGTTACATCTGGTCTGGTGCTTCTGTTATATATCTAGAGATTCTATAGAAGTATTTGCAATTTTATGGATGCTGACCTGGCATCTCAGTTTCAGTCACTTTCCCACTGTTGTAGCTTTCCTGTTTATTTTCTGTAAGTGTTTTCATAGTAATTGTTCGGATGAGCTTTCCTTGTGTAATTTAACATCACAAATTTAAGTGCATTAGTAGTGTGGGATCTAGGTCATGTAATTCCACTGCTGAAATTGCTAATTGTAACTGTAAGACCTGGGCTAACAGTTTTTATTTTTTCTTTAACTGCACATCTCACTTGTAGAACTCTTTTCTGCTTTCCTCTCGACTACGATCTTCAAAAATTGTGTTTCGTCAATCTGTCGTTTCCAGTTTCAGTGCTACCAGAAAAATTTTCTTAGTGTAGTCATTAGTCAGCATTAGTAAGCTGGCAGGTAACCAGATTTTATGGGGATTTCACCCAGAGGTCATATTGTGATTATATAGAGATTTCACAAGGCAGGAATCAACAAACACTTGATATTTAACAATAGTTTTAATGCTAACAAATTGAAGAATTTCAAAGTATATAAGGAGTAAAGAATTATTGATTTATCTTTGTAATCTAGTTGATAGTCTTTCAGCAGGAAAATTATTCTAGCAACAATTTGAAATAAATAGAGAGACGTCTGAGCAACAACTGGAGGGGGATTAAAACTGGACTGTGCCTATCTTGTCATTTGGTCTGTTTGTGTCTCTCATCTGTCTGTCTTCTCTCTTATTAAATCTTAATGAATTCTACTTTGTTTGTTTCAGGTTCAAATCTTTCTGGAGCCTTCTCCAAATTCATTTTATAGCTTCTAATTATTATTTTTAATTTGTTCTTTCTTTCTTTTTTTTCCTCAAATTAAGTTTTCTCACAATTTAATCTTTATTATTATTAGCTGTTCTTAGGTATTAAAAAACTGATCCAGGGTTACCAGCCTGGTACATCCCACACATTAAAACACTGAACCAGGTCACCATCCTGCTATAATTTAGATGCAGTGTCAAATATCATCATTTGTTTCCTTGAATTCTGTCCTTTTCTTGTCCTCTCTCTATTTTTTTCAGTAACTCCTTGCATCTCTGTAGCTTTTATCATCTTTTTTTGGCTTGGGGTTAAATGATTATTTAAAAGTTTATCAAAATCTTAATCTTTTAGATTGTTTGTGGAAAATATAGTTGATTTGTAAATAGATATTAGCTTTTAAATTGAGTACATTTTTAAATTTTTCTATTTTTAATCAATTTAACCCTGTATGAATTAAATTGGCCCTAATAAAAGTGACTGAAAACTGTACTTGAATATAAACAATATTTTTTTTAACCAATATGTTTAATATTTCACATTTTTATTCACACTATTCACAAAATCAACCACACTTTGTTTTTATTTAATAAAAGATGTTTTGTGTATATGATGATTTTTTTTTTCTTCAATATATTTACAGTACTTAATAAAAGGAACTAAATTCATTAGCTTAACAAGCAGATTTTCAAAAATACATATGTAAATCATAAGTTATCTCCCCTTCTCAGTTTTTAAAAAAATAAATGACCCATTATATTCCTTGTATCAATATTACCCAAATTTTCTTAAGTTTTCATAATAAGACTTTCACTATTTAGTGGTGGCTTCCAAAAAAAGTTGTTTCATATTGAAATTTAGTAAATTCTCCACTATATCATGTTTAGAAATAAAAAGGTTATTTTATCAGCCAATAAGGATTTGGTTTTGGAACATTTCTTATTCAGTATCATTCCCTTTTCTTTTTTTTCTTTTTTTTTTATTTTTTGGCAGAAACCATATTTTGCTTAAGCATTCCAAATGCTCTGACTGAAAGCATTATTTTCTGCTTCTCTAACTTTTAGTGCCATATAAAACAATATTTCTCAAAATGTCAATATTTTTTTTTTTTTTTAATTTTTTCCTTATTCTTAAAACTTTAATACCAATTTTGTGCTTCCAGAAATCCTCTTTTATTCAGTAATCTTATTTAAAATTAAGTTTTCACTGAATATTTACTTATTGCTTAAAGTGGCAAATTGTCAAAATATTTGTATAATAGTTGATGCGCTTGAAAATCCTCCTCATGGCCTTTTATATTAGTGACATGCATCACTTGTTGCTTATCATTAGATGTGATTGTTCTCAGGAGTTACCATGATCTTTGAATGCAATTACTTGGCATTGTATAAAAATTAGAGATGGAAAGAGATAAGAAAAGTAGAAAATGAAATTGAAAAAAAGCATCAAAGAAAGCTTTTAGTGAAGAGAAACCAATTAATATTGAATTCCTTTAATTATTGTTTTCAGTATCTGTCTATATTTCTGAGATGAGGTATTATGTACATTATTTGGACTATTGTCCTCATCTTTGTTGCCATATTTATTACAATGTGTCGGCCATTGTACGCTCCGGCCTTCTTCAGGTCCTTAAGGACACATGGCACAGTGAATAAAGGTGTTAGTTAGATCCAGTGACATGACCCAAAGAGTGTGAGTTCAATACCCGGTTAAGGCAGTGGAGAACTTTCAGAGGGAAATTAACAGGAGATAACTGAAAACTGACATCCATTAAACATGGCACGTGGAACAAGAACAGTCGACCCCAGTGACCGAAATAAAGGGTTCAGTTCGGTATTCCAACCACCTGAAGAAGGCCGGAGTGTACAACGGCTGAAATGTAATAAATATGGCGACAAAGATGAGGACAATAGCCTGAATAATGTAAATTATTGTTAAAATTTTTTTATGTATAATTTTGCTTGTTTTGGTTTCAGATTGTGTTCATTCCAATTTGGATTGTAATGTGTGTTGCAATGATTGGGGTCCTCTACCGAATAATTCTGACTATAATACTGATGAAATCACCAGATCTGATACCAGAACAGCGACGAGGAAATCTTTCTTCAGCCATTGGTTATTCATTTCTAGTGATACCATTGTTAATTTTTGAGGTAAAAATGTCTTTACATAAATTTGTTTTGTAAAAGAAAGCGTATATAAAAGAAAAGAAATTGTAAAGAGTTTTAATAAATGTCAAATTCTAAATTTTAATCACTAATCTTTTTGAATTTATTACTATGAAGTATAAACCATGTTTACTGTTGATCAGTTAACTGATTTCCATTGTAGTTTAATAGTATATATTTCATTGGAGTATTACTATCTTGTATTACCTGAGTTAATTCCCATTTTGAATTTTTCTATCTTTACTACATAATACAATTCTGACGAAATTTAACAAATGCTATGTTAAAACGATAAAAATTGCCGAGTGTAATAGTGGTGTTGGGAGAAAAGCCATCCCTTTGACACAGTCCTTTTTTCTTTTTTTTTTTAGAAGTACAAATGTTAAACTTTGCCAAATTTCTGTTGGCAACAGTGTGACATGATCTAGTAGTTCACCCACATGTATATAAAGTTCTTTTTGTTTTCAAAAGTGATTATAAAGACTCTGTTTTGCTAAACATCTTTTCTTTACTAATCATGTCACAGTTTTTTTACTTGAACTATTTAAAACATGACCTCGCATCCTTTTTGATGATGGCACATGCTATAATTATAACAAGAATAATTTAAATGTGAAATAAAATATTTATCAGATTATATAAATATGACTTTTTAAAGGCAACTTAATAATGAAAAGCATTTCTGATTTTTGTTTTCTCATGTTAATTATGTTAATGTTGCTTTTCCTTTGTCATGTTTGATTAAATCCTCTTTAAATAATTTTAATTTTCCCCTTTGATAGAAAGGATCTTGCCTTTTTGTTTCAGCTGATGTTCAATCTTATAAGATTGGCATCTCTCTTTGTCTGTTCACTTCTTTTTTCTTCTTAAATTGAACATGATATCAATAAATGATCTAGCAGCTCTAAAGCCACACATGTTCTTGACAAAGGACAAGAATGTTTCAGGATCACTCTGGCAAAGATTTAGTTAAGATCAGCAGGGAGATGCTATAATCTGCATTACAACCACTTCTTTCTTTGTTCTTGGAGAGAAGAAATGTTGGCAGTTCACATTTTCTCTGGGGATATGTTTATACTTTCAATGAAAGATCGGTGATGTAAACGGAATTGTGGAATTGGTCTTGGCTGTGTTTGAAGATGTTTGATTTTTTTTAGGACCTTTGTCTTATTCAAGGTTTGTCAGTTGTTGAGCTACTTTGGAAAGAGTTTGAAGCCCTTTTAACTCAGAATGTTTCCCCTGTATGATATTTTGATGTAGTTAAGAATTCAGAATTTTATTTCTCAGTTTTTCTTTGATGGTTTTGTCAGATTGATTTCAGGGATTTTTTTTGTTTTTTTGTTTTGCTAGATGCATGACTGAATTACTGGCAACATATTTGATGACATTTTGTGCTTTTCTTATGTTCAGATCTTACTTGCCAATCGTCTTGATGGTGATCATCACCTCAAATATGCAGCTATCACTGTGCCTTTGTTGATCTCTCTTCTCACCCTCATCTGTATGGCATTTGGTTGTAAAGGAGGCAATCACTGTAAGTATTTCTGTTTTTTACTTTAATTACATCTAGATTTCGAATGTCTGCTGCATGAGGGATATTTAGAAAACTAATTTACATTTTTACTTTAGTTTTCTATCTTTGAGTATTTAAACAAACACACACACTTCTCTACCACAAAGAGATTTTGTTTTCATACTTGGTTTTATATCTGAATATTCACAGGTGACACAATATCATTTGATAAAATTTCTTATTAAATTTATCACAAATCTTACAAAATATTTAGAATCATCTTTAATTTTTATTTACTGTTTCAATTATTGTTCATTAATTCTCTCTCATATAAATATGCATATAGCTGAAAAGCTTGTTTAAATAAAACAATTTATTTTGGCCTCAACCAGGTTTTAATCTATTACACTTATATATCATGTATTTGATAAAAATTTATATGGCCAGAGGATTTATATAATTATCATTTTGAAGGCTGACTTTCATATCTGTTCTTATTAGTTACAATATATAGTGTGTAAATATACTCTTATCTTTTGGCTGGAATGTATTTTAAACACTTACTACATTTCCTCTCTCTCACTGAGTCATGGTTAATTTTGATCTTGTGTGCACAATAGTACTGTATATTTTACAAATTTATAGCAAAGAAAATGGCGACTTACCTTGTCAAAGCAAGCGACAGCACGTTGCGTGTATCCTACGATGGAAAATGTGGCGAAAAAGAAAATTACTATTATCCTTATTATTATTATTATTATTATTATTATATTATTTATCCTTATTATATTATTATGCTTATAAGAAAATGTTTGAAGTGTTATAATTCTTTTGAATTACAATTTTTTTTGCAGCCTTATTTTGACATGAATAAAATTAATGATTTCTTATTGAAATGTCATTGAATGTCTGTGTTTTAAATTTCAGGGTGGTTTGGTATTCGAAAAGACTTTTGCCAGTTTCTGCTTGGAGTGTTTCCTCTACTACAAGAATATGGCAATATTAGTTATTCATTACAAAGCGATGAAGCCGATTCAGATGAAAGTTCATCTGGTATTAGTAAATTGGACACTTTGGGAAGTAAAGCAAGTGTTATTGAAGAACAGCCTCGAATAGTAGTGCCAATTATATCGATAGAGACTCCTGATTGATTAGGTCAAGTTTAGATGGGTGGGGTGGGATGGAGCAAACCAGGGCTTATGGGATTGGTGTTTTGAAATGTGGCTGAAGCCCGATTATTGTGATATGTCTTTCCAGGCATTTAAGCTCCATGTGTGTCTGGAGTACAAATAGCTTGGCTGCTGAACTTTATCAAAACATTCCGATCAAAACAACAAAGTATTACCTACACACATACAGATGCACAAATACAAGACGAGTAAAAGAATAATTGTATGTGTGTATGTGTGTGTGTGTGTGTGTGTGTGTATGTGTGTGTGCAAATGAAATACTGAATGAACAAAAATACCATTAAAAACTTGTCTCCTTTTGTTATTATTATGACTAAACATTTTGTACTTTGAATGATTTTTTTCTTTTTACTACATTTATTATTATTATTATTATTGCTTAACATGCACATCCAGTTAAAAGCCATGTTTCACTATGAAAGGAACCAAAACTCTAGCTTGGAGTCTTTTATTTCTAACTGTTAAAAGGAAATGTATAAAAGGTTTGAATATTAAATTTAAAATGCTCAGATGAAAAACAAAAACACACTGAGAAAGAAAAGATATTCAGTGTGGCAAACTTTGAAAAGTCCAATTTAGTATTTTCTGACACTATTAAAACAAAAAATAAACACAGGTGACATGAATTTCCTGACGAAAGAAACATTTCATGGCAAGTAAAATTAACTTTGTCTTTCTCTCATTTTCACCCAGCAAATATTAAAAAAAAATCTTTGTGGTGACCTGTGTTCAATATAACTAATTCTTAAACTGTTTTAGTTATAAATGTAAATGATTCATTTTCATTAATAACTTGTGAAACCATTGTCTTTACATAAACTCTACACTCTGAACCATTTTACTATAAACATCACCTAAAATAAAAAGATTTCAGTTTGACTTTGGCAATTGGTTATAAGCACTTATTTTTGGTTTTATCAGCAAAAAAGTGTTGAATGAATTTCTTAAATTAGTTGATTTCTTTAAAAGTATATAAATTAAAAAAATCAACTGCAAACTTATATTTTTGTTTTAATTAGATATAGACTTTTAAGCTGATTTTCTAGGAGTTAGATAAATATTCTAGTCTGGCTGTATATGAAATCTTTTGAACAAATCATCAAATTAAAATATTTAAGAATCAAAATTCATAATTTAGAATAATGTATGTGTAGAATTTGTATTACTTGTCAGTATATCTTGGAAGTCTTATTAATTTCTTAAAAGCTTTGATGCAAGCAGTAATAGTAAACCTTACTGATAAGTTTTATCGTTTTACCCAATTGAAATTTAGTTATGAATATATTTTCCACTGCTGCTGCTCTTATTTGAAAAAGGAATGTGGAACAATTATTGGGAGTGTGTGTGTCTGTGTGTGTATATTTTCTATAATTTTTGTTTTATTCTACAAATTTTTAAAGAGATTTCCAATGAAGAGATACAGTGAAGATTGAGTGTTTTTTTTTTTTTTTTTTTTTAGGATATGCAATATTAAATTTTTGTGTGTGTAATCTTAGAATGGTACAGTCTTTTTTTTTTTTTAATTGTCTTTCTAAACAAATTGGATGCATAAAGAAAGCCTGAACACTCTCTCATGATCTGTTAAGTGAAAGTATTTGAGATATATACATACCTTATGGTCCTAAAAGGTCTACAAGATTAACCTCAACTAAAAGCCCTATTAAGCCTATGTCAGAAAATATTTGCTATTGTCCATTCATGTAGAGCTTTGGCTCTTATGCAAACTGCTATGATCTTTTGATATTCAAAATGGTAAGAGAGCTAAATCCTCAGTTATTTTCTGTCTCTCTCAGGGGTTCGCCTCATTTCTAAGTGTTTAAAAACTGTTCATCTTTTTGTTAATTACTATCTTAAAAATTGTAAGTTTTATTAAAATTATTGCCATTTTCTTCCCATTTTCCCAGTTTGTTTATATGCAAAGCCAGTTTCATAAAGTGTATTGTTAAAATAACACAGATTCTTAAAAATATTTATTTTTACTGTTAAATTCATTTTTTTTTTTTTAATGGAATACATTTTCCTTAAATGAAGAATTTGAAATTGTTTAAATATTAATGAATTTAAAATTTTTCCAGCATCATTTTTGAAGTTTTTGCTTATCATCTAAATATGATTAACTTGAAATATTTTAGTGAAAATTAATCCAAAATAGAAAAATTTATCTCCAGTCCATTATTTATTAATGTTCAGATTTTAGTTAATGAAAATCAATTTATAAGTATCCATGAGTAAAATAAATATTATTTAAAGGGAAACCAGTTTTAATTTCATACTGAAAAGCTTTTATATAAATAAATTAACTCTACACTGATTATTGGTTTTAAAATGTTTTGCTAAGATTGAACATTTTTTTCTATATTCTCCTAGAACATTGTTTCAAATGCTTTTTTTTCTTTATAACTCTCCAACATTAACTTTATAAATTAAACAAACCTTTCCTAAATTTTAAAAAAAACAGATTCCCAAAATGTTTTGAATGAATTACATGGTTTCTTTGAATTTTTAAAATTTTGGTTTTGAAAAATCATTGAAATATTGAAAATAAAGAATCTTTTCTATTAATGGAGTTAATTTTGCTGATAGAATAGAAATGAATAAAAAAAAAAATATCAAAATAATTTATTTTATATTGTTACCAAAATTCTATTCTAAAAAAAAATCCTATTTCAGGTCTTTGTTCTGGATTTGGTTTATAATTAATAGCACTGTTCAGGTAAAAACATTATTTTACATAAGTAGAACTCTTATAATATTAGCAGAGCTTGAATCTTTTTTTTTTTTTTTCTCTCAAACTGGCTTTCATAGAATTCCATTTGTTGAAGTGAATAGTGTTATGACATTATTTCCCAAAATGTATTTGTAAATAAATAAATGGTTATCCTTAAACTAGTGTTGAAAGAATAGAACTACTCCAATGTTCTTTCTTTGTCAGTGAAAGAATGAATTTCACTGCAACTGACATACATTCTCATATATTTTGCAAATTATTATTTATAAACAGTCATTATCTGCTGATGTGTTTTCATAAATGTTTTTCTCTCTTCAGTTGAAATGATTAAATACTAAAGGCAGGCATTAAATTGAACACTGTTTTTATAAAGTTTCATTTTTCTCTTTACAAATCTTTAAGCCACATTATGGGGCCTGCTTTGGTATTGTTTCTGTTGCTAAATTTGGCAGGTTGAATTCAATTCTTATTTTGTAAACACTATTTGAATTCTATGACAAAATGAAGGTTTATTGAAAACCAGATGGCAAGGGGGGGTGTTTGTTTCAAACTTGTAAAGACAATTTTTTATTTTTTTTTTTTAAGATACTTTCACAGCTGCATTATGTTAATTGGCTGTAGGCATTAATTTTGTGACAATCATATTTGTTCCTGCTGTTTAACGTGCATAAAAAACAATTCCTCAAGCAATTATTTTTTTTTAATATTCACTCGTATCAAATTTGGGGGTGGGGAATATGAGTAAATACCATACTCTGTATTTTTTATTGTTAGTATATTTGAGGAAAGAGTTCATTTCATTTATCAATATATATATATATATATATATATATATATATATATATATATATATATTTTTTTCTCTTTTTACTCACAAGTGATTCATAAGTTGCTAAAACTCATTCAACTGTAAATCATCTACACTTATGTATCCTTTTATATGAAGCACATCACATCAGCATATTTTCACTGCAATATGTTTACTAAAATTAAAAACCCAAAAAAACGTCTATGTACCAACAAAGTGTGGATTTGGTAAGTTTATAAATCAAGTGAAATGAAAGTTTTGAGAATATGGAAAGAGTCAGTTTTCTTTAATTTCTAATTGAATCTTTTTTTTACTTTTAAAAGATAATTTATAATCTGTCATTTGTTAGGTAAAACATGAAATTATAATTTTTGTTTAACAGAAACAAAAAGGTGAAAAGCACCAAACTACTGGTGGCCAGACAATCATTGATGCTTCTTTTCTACTAATTTAATCATTTTTTTTTCTCCTCCTAAGGCACACTGCATTATGAAAAAGAAGTCACTATTCACTTTCATTATTTAATCGATATTATTTAGTAATTAAAAGTATCGTTTTATAAGCTTCTGAATGATTTTGACTTTGCAATCATTTGCTATCAAAGTCTTAGAATTCAGATGATGTAATAATGCTAACTCTATTTTTTTTCTTCTTAATTGCATTAATTAGTTATTAAAAACTACTCACTCTGTTCCTATCAATATTTATCAGATTTGGTATTTGTTTTGAATTCTTTCAATTGCCTCCAGGAAAAAATGCTTTTGCTGCTTGCTTCCTCCATATAATTTGATGCGACACACATTTTTTTAAGCAAAATATATTTTCATTTCATTTCATTTGCTGTAAGGGATCCTAATGTGATGCAGCAACATTTGATAGTCTACGAAAAGTTCTAAACACAGCTACTTATAATCACAGCAGCAGCAATTATTTAACTGAACAAATCTTTGACACATTGTAGCAGTTGTTCAATATCATTAAAGAAAAAACTAAACATCTCTACAACTGATAATTATATGATCTTTTCTACTTTAAAAAGTGCTTCTAGCCATTTTCATGAGCAGCTTTTTCTTCTCTGATATTGTGTAGAAAGGATATTTTTCGTAATTTATCTCTAGAAACAAAGTGTATAATATGTTTTAACATTTATCAGAGAATTTGGATAATTTTGATTTGACATAATGCAAACATTTGTAAGAAAATGTAATAACTTTTAGATATAATCATTAACATGAAACATTGTCTTGACAATTGACCTCATAAAGATTCTCCAGCTCTATTCAAACATATAATTTGGAGGAAATCTTTTAATTACACAAAATATAACTCTTTTTACAAAGCAGATGAGTTTCAGCAAGATATGCTATTCAGTTTTCGGATTTTGTTTTTGTCTTTCAGTAGCGCAATGAGTCTTTACAAACTTCTTGACTAGAGCTCATCTCCCTCAGAATAGAGGAAATTGGGAAACAATTACATTTCAAACATTCTCATACAAACATGGAAGAAAATATAGAGGAGAAAGCAGCCATTCCCTGAAAATCAGACTTGACAAACATACGACCCATCCACCCCCTCAAAAAATGCAGTCCAAAACAAAACAGTGCTGTATAATGGGGTCAGGGTTGGCAAACGAAACAAAGAAGAAATCAGTTAAGCATAAGAGTAAATTGGTTGCTTTCTACACTTGTTGAAATAAATAGTATCTCTCGATCTGAAATCAAATATTTTTAGATTAGATACAACTTTGTCTCACACAAATTATACACTTGTAGAATAGAGCTGGTAAAACAGTAACTGAAATGGACTAAACATTTAATTAAAAAAAAAAAAAGAAGTTCTTAAAGGATTATTTCCCTTTACCTGACCCGAATTTTGATTGTAGTAAATACTTTCTTTATATGGCTGCAATTTAAATACTTTAATGTCTACTGTAAAATTGTAGGACTGTCCCTCCAAAATGAGACATTAATAAGAAAAAGCTTAATTGGTTAGCTTATTTCATTGTAGAATTATTCAATTAAATGTCCGTTTTTGAAATCATTAAATAGAAAAAATATATCACAAAACATCTAATTAAATAAGCATGGTGCTTCAGTTATTTTAATTTTGAAAATTTCATATCAACTCAGCCTTTGTATAAATGAACAAAATTTCTTTCTTCAGTCAAAGTGTAGGTGTTTTTATTTTTGTATTTTTCTAAGTATTTGTGCTCAACAAATTTCATGATATATTTTAACTTGTATTGGAGGCAACCAAAAGCTGAATTTGTTTTCTAAATTGGTAGTAAAGTTGTCTTAGTGACTAAAATTGAATGACTTTTTCTTTTTAGTTATATAGAAATGACTTTCCAAGTGAAAATAATAAAATTGACAACTTGATTGTTTAGTAAAAATATCAAAGCAAGTATGATTAGATCATTGGATAAGGTGGAGAGAAAATTCTTTTAATGGCAAAATAATTTCAAGGAATCTTTTTGAGGTTTTTCATTTTAATTGTGTAAAAAGTAAATTTTCTTGTTCTTTTCATAAAAGTCAAAAGAACTCATCATCAATGAACTTCCTTAAAAATGTTCTTCAGCCAATGAAATGCATTCCTCTTTTGAGTTTATATTTAAATCTTTACGAGACAATAATGGATTTTTCATACACAGTTGGGACACACTGATAGAGAAACAAAAAATTTAATAATGGGATTTCTACTTGAACTTTTCATTCGTAAATTTTTAACTTCACTGAAATAAGTTGTTTTAGAGACAGGTTAATATTTTGCGTAAAATTCTAAGTTACTTAGTTTTATAAAAAAAAAATGATTTAAGCTAAACTTGATATTTTATTTGTGTGAAATTCTAAAGTAATCTTACAGAATAGTTTATACATCATGTTTCCTTTCTGAGGAAAACTTAAATGTAACTTTCTTTTCAATGTCATTTCGGAAAATATTTTGCATAAATAAGCTACTTTTTTTCTTGCACATCAATGTCTTTTTTAGAGTTCTCAATTCCTTTTGTCTTCTTTCTGTTGAAACATCCAATTCTTTTGCACTTTCAATTTGGCTTTTGTGCAGCTAAAACAATATTTTTTTTTCTTTTAGCGTATTTAAATCAGGTGGAACTCGCCCTTCCCACCAATGCGCAAATAACCATTTGTGCCTCAGTGATAAAATAATTCTTTTGATTGCATTTGACCAAAAAGCTGTTTTCGCTTTGAAGAATCTCTATTAAATATGGAATAGAAAAAAGCTTTTGTCAACTTTTGCAATATTTAAACTCTCTTTTCACAAAATAGGATTAAGGAAAGATTTCATTTTTAAGCAAAACTGAGTAAAAATCATTTGAGCTTTTTGCCTTGGATTTTCAACAAGAAAAATCTATTTTTAAATAATTTGTTTGCAAATAAAATGAGATGATGATTAAAATGTTGCTGTGTCACTTTGTTTCATCCTAACCCAATCCCCAATTGTTGGGTGCTGCTTTGGGGGTGGGGGTCATTTTCTGTGTTAAGGTCACATTTTGTTATGGAGAAAATGGTGGATGATTTTTGTTCCCCCCCCCTCTCAGAAACACAATAAATATTATGAAACATTTCAAATTGTTGTGTCTATTTTGAATTTTCCATCATAGTGTAAAATGTTTGAATATCATTTGACAGTGATTTCTCTTTCTTGAACAACAATTTTTAATTCCCAGCAGGATGTGAATTTCTATTACCATAAAAGTACTTATAATCAAACTTCTAAATATTTCTGGTTGATAATTTAAAAATATCTTGGCAAACACAGTTTATTTGATTGTCTTTAACCAGTTTTCAGAAAGTAGTTTTCACTTGGAGTCATTCCTTCATTTAAAAGTGAGGAAACTTTTGATGTCATTTAATGTCTGAATTCTAAAAATATCTTCAGTTAGAGAAAGAAATTCTTTCAGCCAAAGATGCCAGAAATGTCTACGTGACATAGTAAAGCTGAAAATCAGTAGAACAGACTATAGATAAATGCCAAGAGATTCAAAACATTCCTCACTCTTCATGATTAAAAAATTCATTCACTTGGATGTTTAAAATTATGAAGGTTTCAGCGCTATTTTTTTTCAAGCTGACAATTTAACATTAAAATTTAATGTTAGTCTTTTACAAGTGCTGAATAGTTCAGCTGCTAAAGTTTGAGTTCTAACCTATGGTAGTGTGTTGAGTTGTTGTTGAGGGGGGTCCTTAATGTAATCGATTTTTCCTTTACTCTTGTATTATCTGGAAGACAATGTCAATGACGGAATAAAGTGCTAGAAGAATTGATTTAGCATACAAAATGTTCATGGATTTCATTCTTGTGCAAATTTTCCTTGTTGAAGATACACAATTTAAAATCTAAACTTTTAGGCAAATTCACTATAAGAAAAATTAAGCAAGTAATATGTAATGTAATAGTGTTTTTCTAAAAAAAGTTCTAACTCCCAATATTCTAAAATTGCATTGTAACAGAAAGAGGATAAACAAATCCTAACCAATCAAAATAGCTTTTTTTTTCCCCACATCAAGCAAGGCGATAATGCCACTGGGACTGAAAGAGAATGGAAAGACTCAAATCCTAAACAGGGAACAAGAGATAAAACTCTACTCTTTTTGAGAGAATCAAGGAGGAGTGTGAACTGGATGACAGACTTGAATGTTATTTCTAGCAGTAGAAAACTAAACATCTTAAATTAAGAAATATGAATAATTTATGATAATTTTATTTTTGCCCATAGTAATGAAATAATTTAGAATGTGACAAATTCTAATCCAACCATATTCCTTTTTAATGACTCCATTTTACTTTGTCTTTAGAATGAACTACAGCAGAAATCTGTTAATCAAAGAAGTCTTACAGATTTTGAACTTTTAAAGAAATTGCAGTTGTTTCATTTTTAAATATTAAACACAATGGTTTCATTATTTTTCAAGATCTGATTGCTTATATATAAAATGTTATTCTACAACATGAATTGATATATTATGCAACTTATGCCAAGTATAAATCCACAGGATGAAGTCGTTGGTAAGAAAGATAACTCTTGAAAAAAAATTATTTCCCTTAAATTGATAACTGAAAATTTAAGAAAAAAAACACACAAAAACAAAATACAGACACCTCAGAAGTGAATTGTTATTTTTTCACATTGGTCTACCTTTAATAATTAGCTTTGTGTTTGAATCTGTTTTGCAAGGCTTTATCAGACAGCCCACGCAAGAAATTTGCTTAGTGTTCTCTGACAGCAAGAATACAATGAAACCAACTCATCAAAATGGTGATTGTTAATGATCAATCGTTGTAGTGGAGTCTGACGGTTTTAAGGTTCTACTGGCTATTCTTTCAGTCCCTTGCCAGCGGAGTTTCAAAGTATCCTCAGTGTCAAAATAAGACAGAGGATCGTCCATAATAAAGTCATCATATTCCAGTTCACAGCCCTCAGATGTCGCGTCGGACGGAGTGAGGAGACTTCGTGTTGGTGAAAGTGTTTTTCCGCTCCTCACACTGAGAGGAGTTAAATTCAAAGGAGTCTTATCTCCTCTTTGAAGTTCTGGGCTTTGGCCGTCCGGTTTTTGATTTCGCCGTCCATCGAGGAGTTTTATTTTCGAGTCAAGTGGCGGCTTAGATGTAATCATAGGAGACGCTTTCGTTAAGCTTATACTTTTCTCGTCATCGACAAGACTAGTTGGTCGTTTGGGTTTCTTGTCCTTTGCAATAAACTCAGTCGTGACCTTTTTCTCAGGTTTATCTGCTGAGCCGGAATCAGGACCAGCGCTTTGTGCTAAAGTTTTCAGGTCGTAATCTGACCTATCTTGTAACGTCATTAACGGGATACCATCTGAGTTGCGGTTACTACCTTTTGGCGTCGGTAACCGGAAATGTTTTGATTTGTCTCTTTTTTGCGATTTATCTTTTCCATTTTTTGATGACGAGTACGATTTATTTGATGATGTGTCTGTAGCATTGACCGGTGTCTTCACCGTCGGGGAAGTGCCATTGTTTTGCGAAGAGGAAGGCGTTCCTGAGGCACCGGGTACCACGCGTTCTTCTAAATTCAAATTGCACAGTGGCGATTTGGGCGTTGTGACACTGCCCTTGCCGCTTGAGGGATGAACTTTAGGTGAACGTACCTTTGACGAAGGGCTTAACTTGAGGATGCTCTGATTATGAACGTAGTCGATAGGTGTCGCATTTGCAGAGTAGGGACTTTGTGCAGAACCTTGCACCGACACATCGGCTTTTGTCTTCACTTTACGAGCGTTTCCTATTACACTTGACGCACTGGACACCGAAGTCCGTGGTGAAGTGACCACTGGAGTTGTGGCCTCTTGTTTCTTGCGTTTGCCGCTTCCGGTTTTAGTTAGTGGGATCTCCATGTCGTTTTCGATCTCAGTGTTACCGGCAGCGCTGGTCGGACTGCTGGGTGCACTGCCCTTGACATGGTAAGGACTGTCCCCTTGAGATGCCACTGTGTATTTGTGCCACGGACGACGGTAAACCCGCTGATATACGCCGCAAGCGATGCTTATTCCTAGCATCATTACACACACAATAATTCCAATGGCGGCTACTGTGTTCTCCCATTCAGGTTCTTTAGCCATCAAAGAGTGTGGAATAAGTGGAGCTTCAGTGACATTGATAACTGGAAAAAAAAAAGTGAATGAATTGATAAGCAATTTTGACAACGGGAAAAGTAAAAATGAAGGACAACAAAAAATGTAATAAAAGTGATATTTTTAAAAGCAATACTAAAATCGACGTATAAGAAATATTTATTAACTGATTTTTCCACCAATCAAAAAAAAGAAACCAACTTTTGGGCTCAGTGTCCGTTAGTGTCAATAGCATTCTGTATAATCAATCCCCAGTGGGATTATTCATTGTTGTTGAAATCTATCGTGTTTATTGTTTAACAGACATAATATCTTCATCTAATCATCTTTGTACAGCTTCAGGTGTTCGGGTTTTAAATTCAAACTTGTCTTTCTTTTAGACTGGTTGGCAACCACGGCTAGAGAGTATAGTTGCAGATGGTAGAAGAGATTAATTTACACTTTTTTCCACGAGAGCTTGTGGAAAAGAGAGTGTAACAAACTCGGCCGGAATTCGAACTCGGCTTGACGATTTCTCACTCTGACCCACTAACCCTTACACTGCCAGCATACTCATTAGATTTCGTGAAACCTTCTAGTGGAAAGCTGTGACGGCATCTAATCGCCAATAGGGGCTTTTTAGGCCTTCGTCTTTTAACACCCCCCCCCCCCCCAACTTAAACCGCTCGCTTTACACGTTGAAAGGAAAGCTGCAAAGAGGACATTTTCGACACGTTCTTTTTGGATGGTGCTAAGATTCTACTTAGGATTTAAATCCGGCTACTTGCCAAGTTAGGCTTTTCACAAACAACAATGAAATCACGTCGATCAAGGAGGGATGAGCCGCTCCTTTCAAAACAAAACATCCAGTTAAAAATATACTTTTTATTATGAGACAATTTTTAAGAAAAAATTGTTTTTATCCTTACATGCTTTCAAATTTGTTTCAGAAATAAAATATTTCAATTAATGATTATAAAGGAGGAAATGTATTTTTACACATCGTCAGTCAACAGAAAAAAAAAAAAAGGAAAATATTTTTTGTGAACGTAGCTGTCTGTTTATGCATGTCTAATTAGAAGTAAAACAGTAAAGATGAGGATTAAGTGCGGTGTCATTAATAAATGATCCAGTAGGAAGTGTCCCTTAAAGGCTCTAGAGGAGTAATTTGATGACTTTTCAGACCACAGTAAGATTGTAGTCAGGGAAAAGATGGGGGATTTTACAAGGCTTGTTGTCACTTGATCTTCCCTCATACTTATCTGGTGTGAATTAACAAACACCCCCATCAAAGAAAGAAAGAAGAAGGGTCAAATATTAAAGGCCAGAGGGGAAAAATGATTGAGCTGCTTTATAATACGCCCATTTCGATTAAAAACAGAAGTTTAAAGTATAAACGTTTTGGATTCAATGAAAAAGTTAACACCATTTTTTTTCTGCTAAATATCAGTTGCTGAGAAGTTGGACAATATGTCTCCGCTCCATTACTAAGGGCACCCGTATATTGTATCTGGGATTGAAACGTCGGCAATTTTATGACAACAAGACCTTCAAAGCATCCATCCACTGTATAGAAGAAAAGAAAATTAATTATATGAATAAATTAAATTCGGGTCATTCGGAATCAAGTGGCATTCGGTCGGAAGGTAAAGATTGTCGGTTGTAAGCTTATATAGCCAGACCGCATCCTAGAATGCGGTATAAGCCGTTGGTCGAGATGTAAGAAGAGATAGTGAGAGTGGCAATCACAGTCAGAGATGGGCAGAGGGGCAGTCAGAGTACTCGCTGGTCAAAAGGAACATTTAATCCACTAGTCTGTCGTGATAGAAGATAGAAGTGACTGCGAAAATGATTTCAATGTTATTTATCTATTCCTGGACAATGCCAAGTGAATCCATGAATAAATAAGCCAATGTATTGGAAACAGGATTCGTGCTATTTTCTCGTCTTTCCTTTGTTGAAATAAACCTGAGAGCCATTCTCACTTTTGATTCACACCGACGCTAAAGAAGATCGAATCATAACGTGGGCCCAGAAAGTGTACAAAAGTGACAGAGGGACCCGGTCATATGTTTACTCGTATAGCCGAATCAGTCGCCTAATTTGGCCAGATTTATTCTTGCCCATACTGCGTCCCAATTAACCGGAATCTATTTTGTATATAAAATAACGGACACTTACCAGATATTGTGTAATTTGCGATGAATCCATATAAATATAATGCTTTTGAGATCTCTTGTGTGTCTTGATGTGGAAGTATGTATGAGGCTGAATCAGAAGAAGATGACGTCATGAATTCAATGCGCATGAGGTTCGATGATGACGTCACTGATTCCGGAATTCCCCCGACGGCGCTGAAGACAATTAATTTAGAGTTTTCCGCATGTCCATCTCGAATCTTTATCCACTGTCCGGATGGCCGTAATTTAGCGTATTGAAATAGCAATGTTATTTGGTATTGATTAGCCACCTTGACCAGCCAGACACTCAATCCAGGACATTCATCAGTAGCAGTGATTATACCTGTACTGTTTCGTAGCACACAGCCACAAACACAACTACCTTTGCTTGGCATCGGTTCAAACGGTGTTTCTGGTGGCTTTTCTAAGAGAAAGAGACAAAAAAAAATATGAATTTAGTAGAATTTGTTCGTGACAAAGGCGCCTTTATCAACATTTCGAATAAATTATTTATTTACAAATATGAAAAATTAAAGTAATTCCATAAATAATTTTTTATCTATATTTACTCCGACACACGAGTGTGATTGAAAAAGTTCTCGGCCCGACCAGTAGGCGTTTCTATTCAAAATCTGATTATTTGATCAGATTCCAGGAAGTGGATTAAGTCGATAACTGTTTAGCATTCCTTCTTTTGTTTGTGTGCGTATAAAAATTAAGATATAGATAAATGTATCTGCAAAGACAATAAAAGAAATGACAATAGGAAAAAACCTTTTATGCTGTTGCGTTGCGTTCCTGGAAAACTAAAAATAAAGGTAAACATTTTTCTGTGTTTATAAATACATATTTAATAATGTCTTTGTACATTGTCATTTTATATATATATATATATATATATATATATATATATATATATATAGGTAAACCTACCAAAATTTCACTTACGCGGATCGTCAGAGTACGCCGGCCTCGCCTGACGATCCGCGTAAGTGAAGCCTTAGGTAGGTTTACCTGGCTCTTTAGGTTCATAGTCAGATTTGCTCTACTTAGTGTATTGAGCACTTTACTTAGTTACTTTTGCTTTACTAGTTTTGGTGGTTTTTTTCTTTGGATTCTGAGCTTGGATTCTGGACGATTGTTTTTGCCTCAATTACATGTTCTTAGTTCTTTCTTTTTTTTGTCCTTTATTTTTCCTTGGGTATTGGTTTGTTCATTCACAAACCAGAACACTTAAGGTTTTTCCAGACGAATATAATTATATATATATATATAATTATAAGAACCAAATAACACACACACAAACACTAAACAGAGACACATCCCCTCACCAGGTCCAATAAAACTGTCAAACTGACCAGAGAATTCAGGATAAAATGTATCTATCCAGTTCTTATCTCAAATAACAATTTAAAAGAGACTGTTTGACCAATACAAGGAATGTTAAAAGATTCATGTGAAAAAGATAAAAAAATAAAAAAACAAATGAAAACTACAGACAAAAGTTCATTTTCTCCAACAAAAGACATTCATTTCTGTAGTTCACTGCCAACAGCAAGCAGAAATATTTATCTTCCCGATGATGGCCATTTCGGTCGAAACTAGTCGAGGAATCTAAATGGAATAATAATAATAAAAAATCGAAAGAATATTAATCTACAACCCAGTGTGTCTAATGATTTTAATTTTTTTTTTATTTTTAATTTTCAATTATATCAATATATATATATATATATATATATATATATATATATATATATATCAAATCCGTAAGTGGAAAGGATAATCCAAGTAGGGCTTTTATTATAAAATATTAATGAATGTAGCTCAGTGTATTGTATACAGAGCAATATGATATACATCAAAGGAAAAACTTGACACAACATCGAAAAATAAGTTTTTAATATCGGCTTCATTAGACCATTTTGTAATTTCGGTCTCATGAGGCAAATATTAAAAAACTTATCTGTCGAAAATAAATTTATTACCGGATTTTTTCGATGTTGTGTTAAGTTTTTATATATATATATATATATATATATATATATATATATATATATATATATATATATATAAACATGTTTCGTTGAATATGATAGATAAGGAAAATTTGATTAATTTTTTTTAGTTTTTCAAACATTCTTACATTATTTCAGTTTGGTGGAATTAAGTTAGTATAATCGGTCATTTCTTTAGTTATTTTCAAGGGTTTTTTGTCTTTAGGTGTTGTTAGTTTCTCTTAATCTCTTGAAAAACGATTGGTAAAATTTCTTCATTCTCTTGCTCCCACCAAATAGAAAAAAATATGTGAGTGAGGGGAAGAAATATTTGGACATTTGCAGAAAATCTATTTAATATATTTACACTTATTAAATTTGCTCAGATGATATTAATAACTGCTTGTGAAAACCTATCGTTATTTTTTTCTACTCGCCCTTGTCAATGACCTTCAAATCATTAATGTTGATGCATTTCCCCAGATTCCAAATTCCCTAATCTTCACCATAAATTTTAATTGGATTCAAATCGGCAGACCGAATTGGCCATTGAAGCATCCCCAGTTCTAAACACACCATTCCCAAGTTATTTTAACTTTGGGAGTGTTATCTTAAAAGTTCAATCCCTCTTCAAGCTCCCAAAACATTCCAATACATCGCTTCATTTATAGTCCCTTCAATGACAAAGACCCCTCATCTGTTTGAAAGAGAAACACTATTAAACCAAGATATTGCCACCGCCATTTTTTATGCTTTGTGTGTGTGTGTGTGTGTTTTATACCCCCCTATGTACGACAAGCCGAGACATTACTAGAAACCTAAGTTTCATTTCACCCAACCAAGGAATATAAGAATTATACAATGTAAAAAACTGAGCGATGGGAACAAAAAGACAGAAAGTTAAAAAAAAACTTAACGTCTTTAAAAATGTCCCAAAATGAGAATTTAAAAAAATAAATGGATAACAAACGAGAAAATATTTATAGAAGTCTGTGTTGCAAATGTAAATAGAGTGAAAAGATACAAAATACTAAGCATATTGACTATATTGACTAATGAATATGAAAGCAACCAAACAACGACTTAAATAATCATTTCGAAAAGACACGAATATAAATTGGACAAAATAGTACAGGGAAACTGATTCCCTAATATTAATTTCTCGTGCTGAATGCAAATCTATATTAGATGTTCGTAATGTTTGTATTAAAGACCTTCATGGAAATAACCAACCAATAAGAATGTATGTCACCTTGTGCTTGTGTTGTAAGACGTAGGGATTCCTTCAAATGTTCGTGGTGGTGTTAAGACGTTTTATGAGACGTACAAATCAAAACCAGATATTTTAAGGATTTACATTATTTATAGTCGAACTATTGTCCTCATCTTTGTTGTTGTTATCACAACGTTTTGGTCGTTGTGTCCCCCGGCCTTCCTCAGGCGCATATCGATCTGGGTAAAATGCCAGGATTTCTGAACTGAACTCTTTATTTAATCTACGCAGGTAGGCTGTTCTCGTTGCATTCCTCATGTCCATGGATATCGTCAAATTGTTTTTATTTATTACTATTCAGTTATTGCTCACTCGTTTCCACTCTAGTCCAAGTACACACTACCCGACCCAGAGATTGAACTTACAACTACTACTTTACCAAATTCATAAAACCAACTCTTTTAAAGCCATCGTCTCCTAGAAGAATTTGTTGGAGTAAACTTTTAAAGTTTTATTAGACTGCCATCGTTGCTCCTGACTGTCATGTTAGATTCTCCAGATCGATAATCACCTGAGGAAGGCCTGAGAGCACAACGGCCGAACGACGTGATAAAAACAACAAAGATGAGGACAATAGTCCGAATATCAATAGTGTAAATAATGATAACTTTTCATCTCAGAAATTCAGATAAAAATTATTAAATGTTTTAAATTTAAGAGTATATTCATACAAAACAATGCTCTTTCATATTCAGCAAAACCACACTACCAAAAATGAAAAAAAGAGTTTCCAAAGATTCTAAATAAATAGAATGGTGTTTCTTTCGAAGAGTCTAGGGTTAAAAGACGCGCCTAACATTCCGCTTTCTCAGACAAAGTTTTATTCAGTATCTTGACCTCACTGGATTTACAGATGATGACAAAAATCCAAACAAGAAATTGAACAGTAATTTTTTAACAGCAGAAAAAAAATAAAAGCATTTAAATGGCAAGACAGAAAAGAGAGAAGCAGATTTCCCAAGGGACTACTCTTATCTTGTAAGTCTCTAAAAAACGCTTAAAATATTTAAAGAAATACACTTTTACATAGATGAGGTACTTTTTGAAAGTAAATAGAATTTTTAGCTTAATTCTAAAATATAAATTATTGCTTTTTCTCTTCCAAAAATACAAGATATCAAAATTTTCACGTCTTGTGAATCATTCTTAATATCAAAGATGTAAATTTTACAGCAAATATAAAAGTGTATATATATATATATATATATATATATATATATATATATATATATTCCAAGGAAAAAAAAGATTTTTATATTATGAACGGAAGTCAAAGAAAAAAGCTTTTCCCCCCTTACTTTCGCAGTGAATGTAACAGCTTTTCCATTCGATGGGTTCTCCAGGGCAAAAGCCACCGCCCTCTGATGGTGGAGGATTGTTGCACATACGGAACCTGTTCTGCTTTCCATGGCCACAACTAGCTGTACATTCTGCCCATCCGGACCACGGACCCCATTTGCCATCTATGATCAAAACTTGAAAAAGAAAAAGAAAAGGGAAGATTAATATTCAAAAGATGAGACACGTGTGAATAAATTTATTCAGGAAAACGTCAAAAAACCTAGACTCTCTTTATCAGATTATAAGGCGAAAGTGAGTGTGTGAAGACGTGCAAGTATTAAAAAGAGTAAGAGAGTTGGGTACGGTTGAAATTTAGATGAATAAAGGGAATTTGAAATTGGAATAAATTATCTGATAAAATATATTTTGAAATCTGTGTTGCAAAGAAAAATATGAAATGAAGAATAAAGGAATGGCAGAATGAAATTCTACCAACAGAATAAAAAAAGAATTCTTATTTTCATGTTTATGTTAATTCTTTGAAACTCTTTGCGGACAGAGTAGAAAGAAAAACTAGATAAAAAGGAATCATTCCTGACCGAGTCTAAAACATTAAAATAAACAAAATATATGAAAATCTAGGATTGTACTTTATTCTGTAAGGCTGATGAAAACAAAATTATTTGATGAGGAAGACTTTTTATAGATTTTCTTATCGAAAAAAACAATTGAAAAATACTTTTTATTTTAAAATAAATAATTTTTACGATAAGGAGAACCTCTTGAAGGCGCAAATTTTTTTAATAGAAAGTTTTTAGGTAATTAAATGCAGATAGCAGAAGTAAGAAAAATGATCAAAGCCTTAAATTATATTTAAATGATTTCCTTTATGAGCTCTTACAAATAAAGATAACTTAATCCTCATTGGGTGCTCCATACTTTCAGCCTTGTGCCACATGTAAATTACGTGTAGTAAATCGCTATAAATAAGACTCCTTGACTGCATTCAACTTTCGACCTATAAGTGAACGCTGTTGATTTTACCCTTGATTGTTTTGAGCAGTGGGACCCTTTGATTGCTTAAAGCAGAGGGAGCTTTTGATTGTTCAAAGCAGATGGACCCTTTGGTTTTCTCATTGCAGGTTGATGCACCATCAAATTCTAGGAGTGTGCGAGTGATGTAACGGATAGCAGAATGAGAATCCCGTGTAACAAGAGATGGGCAAATATTTTTTAATGGATTCGGCAACTGGTGATAATATTCTAAGAAAACTCAGCAACTGGAATGAAACTATTTCAAAATTTATTTTGTTTGTCGAGAGTTTTGAACGCATAATTAATGCTTCGTTCGGAGACAAGGTCAAATAAAACAGCTTTTAACTTTTCGACTGGTTAATTCTTTGCGTCTCTGTCTATCATCTTATTGGGATACACGTGGCACGGAACCAGAAAATTTAGAGCTGAATTATGAATTCGGTTTGGAATTCGAACTCCGTTCACTGATATCACGTTCTGTGTCTTGAACCACGATACTACCCAAAAATTACAACCAACAAAACTACTTAGCAACCATAAATATCAAGAGGTTTCTGAAGCAGATAATAACAAACTTTATTTACTTCCCCTCTTGTCTCTCCAACTTGCTGTTTGTTTTAATCTCAGGTGGTCTTGTGATGAAGCAGACATTTCGTAATTCTGTTAGGATAATTTATGAAGCCCACTGATTGTTAAAGTCATTAGTGTCGTATCAAGTCAACAGTGTTACTGATAGCATAGCAATAAAATATAAAAAAAAACACTGATATTTACTAAGCGTAGTTTAGTACAGCTCTCGGCTAAATAGAAACAATTGTGATGCACCAATATTCTAACTAGGGGACGGCCTGCTGCCTTGAAAATTTTACCCAAAATCGAATATTGACATTTTGTACAATTCAGTCATGAAATGTTTTTTTTTTTTCATTTCGTATAAATTGGCTTTTTAATTACTTTTAATAAACATTAACAATTCCAAGGTTTAAAGCACAAAACATCGAAGTAATAAATTAAGAATGCATAATTAAGCGATGTTTTTGAGCAATAAATGAGTCCTTAATACACTTACGTTGCCCATAATGTCATTCAGCATAATTAGGAGACCGAGAACCCACGTGATAAATATTCATACAGTACACAATGGGGAATAAACTTACTAGTTTACTAGACAAACACAATAACGACTAATGTCCGTAGATGATTGATGCACCAGAGAAACAAAAAAAAAAAGAAAAAAAAAAGAAGTTATATGTTAAAACACATTTAGAGACACAAAGTAAAAGCGAAAACATTAACGAGACAATAAGAAAATAGGAATACAAAACGATATCATGTAAAATACGACAAAAATATTAGGTTACGACATTGAAAAAATATATTTCAAGTTATAAAATCATGCCAGAGCATTGAAATAAGGAAAATAAAGTGAAACAGTCGGCAAATATTGACTTGAAATGCACAACAAAATATGGATACATTGGTGTACAATGAACTTTTTATATTAAAGTTCAAACACATTGAGAGTCAGTCAAGATAGAGGGGGTTAATATTATAATAGATATGAATGGAAGAGGTGTGTGATATAAATGTAAGAGGGGGTGTTAGGAAGTGAGGATTATGAGGATAAGTAGGATAGATAATAAGTGGCCTTTCACTTGAAGGGGTCAAGATTGTAGTGTTTAGGGAAGCTTCCTCGAGGGAGTGTGTTCCTCAGGAAAATGGAAAGACAAATCTGTGGAACTTCCTTCTTAGATTAGAGAAGAAATGAGGGTAGTTTAACTCCGTGGCAGAAATGCTCCAGTTTTGGTCTAATAATCAACACCTTATTTGAAGAATATGCGAAGCTCTTGTTGATATGGAAAAGCCCAAGTGAGGATATAAAGAACTAGATAGGCTGCTTAACAAACAATAAAAGATTTAGAAATGCAATAGTGCGCTTTCAGACCTAAACGCTCATTACAAGAGCGATCATCTACGAAACTAAATATAAATACATTGAAAAAAAAATATATATATATATATATTTTGAACAATAAAAAATATTAAAATTTTCAGACACACTAGGTTGTATATTAATATCTGGATGAATTCATGCTGCTCTGAATTCCCTTGGTCTTTTTCACAGTTTTATTGGTTCCTGGAAAGGGGATGTGTCTCTGTAAAATGTGTGTTATATGACAGTGAGCATGATATGTATAAGTGTGTATATTAGTAGTATATATATATATATATATATATATATATATATATATATATATATATATATATATATATATAATAAAATCAAAATTACCTCACATGGGGAATAGTCTATTTCGGTAGACGAAGATATCGCTCGATAAGACAGACAATATCTTCGTCTGCCGAAATAGGTTATTCCCTATATGCGGTAATTTTGTATTTTATTGTTTATTAATTATATTGATCTGTATTAATAAATACATCCAGCTCTTTTTGTGGATCACTTTTGATATTTTATATTACGAGGATCCACTTGGATTATATTACGAGGATCCACTTGGATTATATATCAATGCATTTGTTACCTTTACTGTATATGTGCATAATTTCCTACAGCTATGTGTACATGAACAGAGTGCTTCATCGTAATATAATAAAGACTTATAGATCATTAGTAATGAGTTCTATCATTACCAGGTGCTTGTGGCTTTGTGCCAAAACAAAGCAATGTGAATATGTAAAAGGCTATCGGGTATATGACAACGTATATATAAAAAATAGAACGAGGAATATAGAATTTATGTTTTTTTCTTCTCGGAAAAGTTTGTCTTATGCCTAGTCAGCCATTTTGGGTTCCCATGCATCAATAAGCAGTTTGTAAATAATTAATATGAGGTTATCTTGAAAGCTTCGACATATAATGATATATTTATGTGAAAGACTTGTGTAATATTCATGCAATCTGACGACAATAAGGCTTGTGCATATCAACGATATCAAAACTGAAAAAGCTCCACACACGAAACAGTGAAAAAACTAAAAGACAACAATCAAGTCGTGATGTTAAAAAGATAACAAAAACAACAGTTACTCACCAAATTACATTTCGCCGCAAGAAGAAGGAAGAAAATGTCGAAAAAGTGATATTTTGTATTAGTATCAAACAAATCATTCATTTCTATCTTAAAATAAATAATTGAATACAACTTCCGACAAAAAATATTATCATAAAACTGCTATCAACATTGATACTATATTTTAACTACAATAGTTAAAAAGATAAGTAAGTATGAAAAGTAATTAAATAAGTCAAACTAGATATTTTTAAATTCTCAAATGCGCTCATTGATGGATATAAAAGCGAAAAAGTCAGTTGTAAAATTTCTATTATTTTTAATGCAATCTTCTCGATATTTAAAACTCTGCACTCTTCGACTCATGAGTGCTTTTAATATTGTCTTAAAAAGACAATAGTTGTTTTGCTTTTTATAGGGGGGTCACCTTGTACAAGGCTCGGGAGCCACAAGGGGTAGAGGGTTACAGAATAAAAGGGAAAGTTTATACTTATATGTGGGAAAGATAGCGGTTAATCTTAAACTTGAATAGGTGAAGATTGTAGTGATCGGGAAGACGTTCTTTTGGGAAACGGTTCCACAGAGCATCAGATCGCGGGAAGAAACTGCTCAAGTAAAGCTTACATTTCAACAATGGAATACAAAGGAATACAAAGAGAATGGAGGTCGTTGGCTAAGATATGTGTAACATGGCGGGTCTTATCCGTGAACATTAGAATTGGTGGAACTAAAGAATATAGTCTTGCGACGTTTCGTCAATAGGAACGGGGTTGTAGGGTGGAAAGTAATTCCTCACTCACAAGGACGCGAAGAGGCTTTTGGACTCTATCGTGATTAGAAAATGAAAACTTGGCAGCTCTTGTCCATATATGGCAGCAGTACTGAATTTTTGGCCTCATTTGGCTCTAGTAAAGGTAGAGGATAACAGGAGTGATTTACTGGAGGCGCTACAGAGAAGCGGTCATTTTCCCCAGCCTCTTTAGCAATGGATCGTATGTACGAGATCTAGTTGGGGTCTGGGTTGACTTCAAGGCTCAATAGGCACTCAAGGCACGGGTCCTCTCAAAGGAAACATTTATTCACCCAGACTGGCGGTATTTCGGGGCCTGATCGGTGATAATGGAATTTAAGTAGTTTGGCTTTCGAGGCATTGAATGTAACCAGCTAAGTCTTTATCCAACTGAAACACTAGAGATTTATGTGAAATATCTTTCGATTAAAAATAAGAAAAGAATATAAAGTTTTGAAGTTTAAACTTCATTTAAGAGTAAGTTTAAAACTACTTTTCTTTATTTTGTTATTCTTTTTCATTTATCAAGAAAAACTGAAATAATGTCGCCTTGACAGTAAAAAAAAACAAAACAAAACAAAAAAAACAACAAAAAAAAAAATAAACAACTGGTAATATCATTTCCTTCAGTGTCTTTTGCATTTAAACTTCAGCTTTCATTTATCCTTTTTAATAAATATTAAGTTATTCAAATATCCGAAGCAAAATCTAAAAATGATTAAACATAAAACCTTCCAGAAAAATTCAACACCTAGAAACTATTATTGTATTTTCAACTCATTAATAAACAGATTTTTCATATAATTAACTCTACACAGATGCAAAACTAAATATGCATAGAAAAAAAAAATTGATTTAATAGAAATAAATCCCATTTATTCATTTTAACTATGTTCTTCTGTTTTCGCTATACATTATTCTAGAATTACGTCCAAACAACTCAATTTTGGTTTCGTCTGTCCATAATACTCTTTCCCAATACGATTTTTCTTTATCCTTATGTTCATGAATGAATTTCAACCTGGCATCTCTGTGTCTTTTAAATAGCAGTGAAGTTTTCCGACTTTAGATTGTTCTTATGAATTTCATTGCTTATTGTTCGTTTAGTGACACAAATCCCTGATGAAAGCAAATTCAACTTGACGAGTAACCATTAGATTTTGTTTAATTTGACGCATTAATTTCCTTGAAGATCTTGAAGAAATTTTCCGTGGAGGACCAGTTTTGCTTTGATTTTCAACAGTTTTGAGTTTTTTATACCTTGCGATAGTAAATGATACCTTAATGATAGTAAATGAAATATTCGGCTTGTCTGAGATTTTCCAGTAACTTTTACCTTCTTTCCAGAGCTTTACAATGATTTTTTTTCGAATTTGTCAATTCTTTAACTCTTGCTATGCTGAAAACCTTGCACGAATATCAATCACAGAATGTTCTGCTTGTATCTTTAGGCTAAAAATAACTACTGATAAAATTACTGCAACATTCTAGAATATTCCACTTGAATACTCTATAGTATTAAAGCACTTTAAAAGTTTTAAAATTTGAAATTTACATTGTACGAATACTTTTTTCATCCATTAAAATGAGTAAATTGAATTTATTTCTATTAAATCAATTTTTTTTTGTTTTCTATGTATATTTATTTATTTATTATGCATTTGTGTACAGTATGAAAAGTATGATTATTCATTAGTTGGAAATACAATAAATTCAAAATTTGTATCTGTACTAATATTTGTTTTCCCTACACCATATATATGCAACAAAAATTCTTGCAAAATGTTATTTTAACATTTGCTTTGGAATTTAATCCGAGGCTGAATATTTCTGGCCACTGAAGTCGCTGCTTTTGTTTCACTGACACAATCCTTGTTTCATTGACACAAATCTTGTTTCACTGATGCAATCCTATGTAATAAATGAAACAATAAAATCGTTTGCGATAGCAGCAAAGAAAGTTTAAGAATATTGTTGCCATAAATGGGGGTCGTTTGTCTATATAAACATTTGCTTTTGTAGTTTAGGATCTTGGCTTTTCAGTGAAGATTGGAGGAAAAAAGAGAGATTATTCTTCAGAAAATGAGAGAAAAGAAAAATACCGAAGAAGCGTAAAAAGAGGAATAGAAAGAGAAAATTTGAAAGGCAGAAGCTTAGAAAGCGATAAAAAGGGTAGAGTGTAGAAAGTGACTAGAAGTAAAAGAAAATCAGCAAAGAGAAAAAAAAAAGATGGAGACGAGGAGCAAGAAAAACATTTCAAGTGAATCGAATAGACTGGAAAAGAAAAAGAATAGGGAGAAATAATGGCTGAGTAGTCAGAGTGAATCATTCTTATTTTTGAAGAGGCTTTCATCTGAGGTGCTTTTCTTGTGTTCCGTTTATTGGCCAGAGTTTGTTTGGTAGCAGAAGAAGCGTCTGTCTATGTCGCTGGTCGAAGGACATTGTCACCAAATAGTGACAACAAGCCTGTATGGCGATGTTTGTCAGTGCCACTTTGCTGTGTTTATACACACGTCTCAATAAAAATGGCACAACAGCTAAATAAAGTATTCGACGTTGGAAACGCAAACAATAACCAGCCGGACAAAGTCTATCAAGCGAACAGGATTTTCTGCGACAATATTCTGGAGAGCAACGGCCAAAAGAAAAAACAAAATTCTGGTCGGCTGGCAGGTGAAAGACGCGTGGTAATAAAAGCAGTTTTCGTGATTTGCGGACAGAAACAGAGCTTAAGATGGTGGACGAGAAACTGAATAGAAAAGAGAATGAAATTTAAATCAAATTTGGGAAGGCGAGGTCGGCGCCTGCTAACATACTGGATTATTAAAAAAAGAAAAGAAAAGAAGAAAAATGTATTCACTCATCATTATGGTCAGTGAATACAATCCATAAATGTAAGAAGCATGTGTGTGTGTGTGTGTGTGTGTGTGTGGTTGTGTTTGGTGGGTGAAGCTAAATTCTTTCTTCACGAGTCATTAGGACTTCTGCACCTGAAATAATAAAACTGGGAAATTAAATCGGGACTACAAATTCCCATTTGTAGAGAAATAGTTGTCTACATCCAAGGAATAAAATACAAAGAAACAAATTCGTTTCCCAATTTCAAAACCTCAGTGATGAAAGTAAATTTGAAAGCCTTTATTTTTCGCTTATCAATAATTTAAAAGCAAACGTTATTGATTTTGTTAATATTTCGAATCTGCACATCTCCAATGCAATGAATAGGCGATTTTTTTTGTATTCTTTTTTGCTGGAAGAAAAAATTAGGATTTATGAAAACAAAACACGAAAAAAAGAGACAAGGAAAATCAAGTACATTAAGAATTTCAATTCGAAAAACTATGAAAATTTCGATGGAAATTAATTAAATTGGTTTATATTAATGTCATTATCGTCAGTCTATTGTGTTTATTTAATTACTAATTTCTAAATCAGCGGTAATTAGTAAAAAGAATTCAAGGAATCTGGATGCTTTAAATAAAATTCTTTTCCAGAAATATGTTTGAAAATAAACAATTTCATATAAGAGCGGTCTCCAGATTTTTGAAATTAGAACCACTGAAAAGAAAATCAATTTATAAAGGAATCATTTAAATGATCTAATTTATTTAGATTTTGTTTGTAATCAACAAAATTCAGAAAAAAAAGAGAAAGGCAATGATAAAAAAAAAATCAGGTCTTGTATCAGGTAGAATTTTGGAGATCCGTTTTATAGAAATTATAATAACGAGGATTTATTTGAAGTAAAGAGAAAAAATAATCATTTTCTTAGTGTATAGGACGCACCCTTTTCAGCACAAAGCTGAAAAATTACCCTATATGCAAAAAAAATAAAATAAAATAAAAAAATAAAATAAAATAAAATAAATAAAAAAAACCTCCTTCTGGAGGCGAAACTTTCAATACTAGCAGATGTCTTGCACGTATCATCAACTGAAATAAAAAAAATGTCTTGCATGTATCATTTACTGAAATGAAAAAAGCGAAAGCGTCCATACGTCGTATATAAAGCCTTACATTTTCAGAAACTCGAACAAAGTCGACAACATTTTCTCTCACTCACCTGCGTTATCTTTTGCCGAGATGCAATAACGTGTTTGTTCTCTTACAGCTCCAGCAGTTGTCATAGTTTCATAGACAAAACAGTATCCAGTTACATCTCCAGGAATGTCGAATAGACTGCAGTTGAAATAAACAGATGTTATATTTCTGAAGGCGAACCTCTCGGCTCGATATTTCACTCCTAGGGGTGACGCCAGTGACCCCATCACTTTTCGGTACATAGCATACAATCTTATCCTATCGGTGGGACGCGAGCACTGAGGGTGTTTAAATGAAATCGATACCCAATCTCGACAAGGGAAATGATAACGTTTATCCATGCTGACTGAATAGTTAGGGTTCCAGATGATGTTCATATAATGACTCTTTGTGATTATTTGTCCTGGTGCTGTCAGTGCATAAGGGTTTGATGTGTACACCGAGCGAAGTTCAACTTGATATCTACCAGGGAGTTCGGTGATGTTACAAGGAAATTTATAAGTGATATTGGCAGATAAATTAGGGATTTTAAGCTGATAGATTCGGGTTCTCTTAAACGGGTTACCGAACGTAGGTTTCGGTTCCTCTCCGAAGAAGATCAAGTCTAAGAATAAAGTATGCAATCTTATCAGCGAATTGCATTTGGCAGCCGATTTAAGAGCAACGCTAATGTTGTGGGTGAAGGCGTATTGTTCTGCTGGCAGTGAAATGGCAAAGAATGGCCATCGTACGTCAAAGAAGAATTCATTCAAGACATCTCCGTGTCTTCGGGAATACATTCGGAAAACATAGTGTCCGGCACTGTCGATCAAACCACAAGCTATCTTCTGACTACCCGAAGTACATCCAATACTGATAGTATGAATCTCTTTCTCCTGTTCTTCTAAAGCGATCAGTGCGATGAACGCATGCGTTAAACACTCGTTTCGAGGGATGGTAAAGTTGAGTTTCAATATTCCTGAGAAAGCCGTGTAAGTCTTCGGGGCAATGATCTTATAGGAACCAACTGTAAAAATAAAAGAAATTGAGTAAATATTTACAAATAAAAGTTAACAAAATGACATCAAAGAACATTAAAACCACTCAGCCACAGAATTTCACATTATCAAATTTAACGAAGTTTATTTTTTGTATTAATTATCAAATTTAATGAAATTTTTTTGTTGTCTTGATTACGATATATTTTTCTATATTCAGCTGTGGAGCTAACGAAATAAGAGATGAATGGGGGGCTTGTATCTGTGATGACGAGGTTAAGAAAATCAAAAATAAAAATATGATAAAAACAGTTGCGGTATTTCAAACGAGAATTCATTAAATAATGAAATTGAATCTGTTCCGCATACTTTTAGGAGAAGCGAACAATTTTGGTCGAAGTTTCCATTGTGAATTCATAGTTAATAAACCGATTATGAAACTGGGCATTTTCTGAAACATTTTTATCTTCGGGCGCCAACAAAAACGAATTTTGGCCGAAGTTTCCATTTTAATTTGTGCAAAATGTAAGTCAATGCGATTCGCCAAAACGATACAAGATTTTATGCTGTACGGATAAGCGGCGCAAATTTTCATTAATACTTTTCCACTTTCGGAGTTTATGAAATGACAAAAACCATCAAAATTACCGAAGGAATCGTACAGTCTAAAGCTAACAGGAGATGGAGATAAGGTAGGAAGAGTTTGTTGCGCCAGTTATTCAAGCCTATTTGTCATGAAAATCAGCATCCATCATTTGCGATTTGGAAAGGGCGAAAAATGACATGATCGTTCGCTACGGGTTTCGGCCATACACACAAGAGGAATCGCATTAATCTTTTGAAAAGTCTTACATCAAAATTTTAAGAGGGACGTGAGGGATCATGTCCCTCCACAACTTCCTGTTCTTTGTAATTTTAAGTAATTCTACACTGCCATTCCTTCTTCTACCCTCCATTTATACAAGCTTGTTATGTAGGTTACTTGTTGTTAGCCTCTTGCGTTCACCTTGAAACAGCAGTTCTCATACGGTCACCGAAGATAAGCAACGCCGAGCCTGGTCAGTACCTAAATGGATGACCACTGTAGAATGACGGTTGACTCTTTTTATTTTTAGTTCATGGTATTTCTTAGCATTCTTCTGTCGACGTAAACATTTTTACTGAGTAGAAGTTAATTAACTAATGTAAAGGATACGAGTTAGGTTTAAATATATTAAATAAGTATCAATATGAAATGTCTATTCCAACATTTGTTGAGAAAATTCATGGGAAAAAAGGACGCTAAAATATGAACGCTTTGATGACAACTTAGATTAAACTTGAAACTCATTTATTCTATTCAGTGATAATTTGGAAGAAAGAAAGAAAATATCTAGAAAGACAATAACAGGAATTATAGAAAAGATTTGTCAATAAAGTTGGGAAACATTGTCTTGGTTGACGAGGAGAGAGTTTGGATGAATCATTTTGGCTTTTTTATCATGAAAAAAAAAGAAAAAAAAAAGAAAGTGTGATATTTTGGGAATAATACAGAATGCAAAGAAAAAGATGAAAATTACCGTAAAATGTAATTAATCCCAAGATGCACTTGTGCAATATTTTCTGCTGTTATTTGTGAGAAGTGGTGTGGTGAAGATGACGCAAAGAACACGAAACATTATTTAGGTCAACATAATTAACACGCGGGAAAATACGTAGTCGTGAATGGAGGAAAGCTTTTTTTTATTGGCTACGAATAAGAGAATTTAATTAAAGAAAATTACTGCGCGATCTGCTAAAAAACTGAAACGTGTTTTAACGATCAAATTATTCAAAGATAATTATAGTATGTATGAAATTAAGTTTAGGTATGGAATAGCAAAGATTTCTTTGAAGAACTGCTTGAAGAATAAAAACATTAATAATATTAATGATAGTTTTTTAAAAATCAGCACAATATAAGGTCACCACTTATCCCCTCTTATAAACCACTGGTTCTGATTTCACAACTGAGCACATTTTCAAAAATGAATCTCTAAGTTTAAATCCCATAATTATATGTAACTCTAAAATATAAGATATAATCGCTGATTTTCTGTCTAAAATTTTGGGAAGGTCGACGGCACAAAGCAAGGAAGATGACATCGAATCTTTCTATTCCATATTGGACAATGCCAAAGCTCTACACAAATCACAGTAAGTCATCATTAGCATGGGAGACCTAATCGCCAAAGTAGGCAGGGAAGGGGCAGGGAATATAGCAGGAAGATTCGGATTAGGAACCCACAATGAACGCGGAGAAAAATAGATCCAATAATAGCCAACATATGGTTCCAAGAACATCCGTGACGACTATCGACATAGAGGAGAAACCATCAACGAAAGATTTAGGAAGGCAATGATTCACTGCAAAACCTACCCAAGGGCTGACTGCGGAAGCGATCATCGCCCTCTTATATATAAACTAAGAGTGAGACTGTGGAAATCGAAGAAGCTTAATGCAGCACCCAAACTGCAATACAACAAACACCTGAGCGATCTTAACCTAAAAGAAAAATATTTGGATAATGTGAAGAGAAGATACGAGGCACACAATGGAAAATGAAAATGGATCTGATAGAACTGCTCAGCGACCTTGACATATTCGGGAAAGATATCAGAATAATCAAGAACCTATACTGGCAGCATGCGCATAGGGAACGAGTTCAGTGAATATACAAAAATAGAAAGGGGCGTAAGACAAGGATGCGTTTTCTCATTTGACCTGTTCCACCTATACAGCGAGACAATTCTGAGAGAGTTGGAAACCCTACCGGGATTTAGCATTAGCGGCCATAATCTTAACAAAATAAGAAACGCCGATGATACAGTACAATACTGATAAACACGGAAAAGAAATTACAAAATCTTCTACAGAAGGTAGCAACGGAGAGTGAGAAGAAGGGACTAAACATAAAGTATAAGAAGACAAAATGCAGGGTCATCAGTAAAAGGACGAGCCCGAAATGCGATTTACAGGTCGGGAACACTACAATCAAGCAAACTGGAAGCGTCTTGACAGAATATGGTAAGTGCGACACTGAGATCCGTAGACGTATTGGGATGGCCAAGGGCACATTCCAAAAGCTGGGCAGAGTATTGTGATACAGGAGGACTTCTTTGGTAACAAAGAAAAGGATACTGAGCTGTTAGAGACTCAAGGCGACAGAGATGTGGTTCTACAGAAGGATGCTAGGGATATCATGGACTGAGCGTGTGAGCAACGATAAGGTCTTAGAGAGAATGCACACAAGGAGGAGGTTTATACCTAACATCAGGAAGAGGCAGCTGAAGTTTCTGGGACACATGATGAGGAGGGAAGGCCTGGAGAATCTGATACTTACGGGTCGAATAGAGGGAAAGAGAGAGAGAGAAGGGAAAACATACCTGTCGGACACTATTTACATTATTCGGAGTATTGTCCTCATCTTTGTCGCCACATTTATTGCAACTTTTCGGCCGTTGTACGCTCCGTCCTTCTTCAGGTGGTTGGAATGTCGAACTGAACCCTTTATTTCGCTCACTGGGGTAGACACACAGGACACATGACACAGTGGATAAAGGCGTTAGCTAGATCCAGTGACAGGACCCAAAGTATGTGAGTTCAATACCTGGTTAAGGCGGTGGAGATCTTGGAGAGGAAATTAAGCAGGAGATAACTGATAACTGACATCCATTAGACATGGCACGTGGAACTAGAACAGTCTACGCCAGTGAGCGAAATAAAGGGTTCAGTTCGACATTCCAACCACCTGAAGAAGGACGGAGCGTACAACGGCCGAAAAGTTGCAATAAATGTGGCGACAAAGATGAGGACAATACTCCGAATAATGTAAATAGTGTCCGACAGGTATGTTTTCCCTTCTCAGGACAATAGTTCGAATAATGTAAATAGTGTACATAATACCTCATTTCAGAAATATAGAGAGATACCTGGCGGAGCAAGTGGGTGACAGAATGTGGTCTGGGAGGGGGGAGCAGAAAGAAGGAACTTGTTTAGAGCTGCAAGGGATAAAGAGAGGGTGGATTCAGAGGGTGATTGCCTACGTCCTGAAAGGACACGGCACATAATGTTATTATGGCAACATTTT